TGATTTTCTCTTATCTTTTTGATATTTGAACTATGTAAAGCACCTTGAATTCTATCTATCTGGTATAGTATATAGTTACTCAGTAGTGGTAGCTACTGTTACTATTACTTTACCTATTCATTGTATACAGTTGCTGTTTAAATTCATATGGTTGTGCTAATAGCCAAGATAATTTACATGGTTGTTTCAAATTAGGATTAGTGAGACTTTAAAAGCATTTATTAACATTAAAATCATTATAGTATTGTTTTCTCTTCTCTTGTTTCTAATTTAATAACTACCAAAAAGAAAATTCAGGCTGGTTTTCCTCGATTTGTTCTAAATACTACATGATGCTTTTTGAGATTTTGTTACCTTCTAGAATTTTTCATTAGCAGCTATGTATGTTGATCAGCCTTGTTTTACTAAAGATTGATAATTAATGGGACAATGTGAAATTAAGCTTCTCCTGTAGAAAATGTTGCTATTATTCTTCCTTGCATCATGATTTTTATAATACTTAAATTTTATAACTCTCTGAAACTCCCTATAGGATGACTGAAAGATGATTTTCCTACCAGAAAGTGGCCTAAAATGATCGGTATATCACCACTTATAAGTTCAAAATTCTTATTAAAGCTCCGTATTCATCCTTCTTTCAGCTATACATCTTCTACCTTATGGATTTTTTAAAGATTCTGTCACTACCTTAGTAGTGTTTGAGTAGCTTGACTTTAATGTGCTGTGTATTTTACTGATGACTTTCAAAAAATTATCATGCATTTTTTAAAAAAAAAATTTATTTATTTATTTTTGGCTGTATTGGGTGTTTGTTGCTGTGCGCGGGCTTTCTCTAGTTGTGTTAAGCGGGGGCTACTCTTCGTTGTGGTGCGCAGCCTTCTCACTGTGGTGGTTTCTCTTGTTGCGGAGCACGGGCTCTAGGCACGCGGGCTTCAGTAGTTGTGGCACGCAGACTCAATAGTTTTGGCTTGCAGGCTCCAGAGCGCAGGCTCAGTAGTTGTGGCGCACGGGCTTAGTTGATCCACGGCATGTGGGATCTTCCCGGACCAGGGCTCGAACCCGTGTCCCCTGCATTGGCAGGCGGATTCTTAACCACTGCGCCACCAGGGAAGTCCTGTCATGCATTATTGAACATTTAATTATTAAATTAGAAAGATGATAACTTAAAATCTGATTTTACATACTCAGTAAATTCCTGTGATTAGAAAATTCTCTCATGGTGTTCTATTTATAATTAATATACCAAGTAAAACTAATTAGAAGTATCTGAAACCCCTGGCAAAATCTGTAATTAGACATGTGATTCATAATTAACTGACTCTTCTTATTCTTGCCTTTTCCTCACCATTTGAATTAATTACTTGTGTTCTTCCTTATAGTCTTCCTATAGTCACTACAACACAGACACCAGCCAATCAAGATGGCCATAGCACTGGATTCAGGGTCTTGAAGGACCCCTGCATTCTTTATACTGCATCAGGCTTTGCTGCTTTTGTTGTTGAGTTGGCGTGGTGGTGGTGGTGATGGTGGGGTGGGAAGACTGGGCCATCAGCAGGTACCTTAGAGCTGGTGAAGTTTGGGGCAGTGACTGTTTGCCAGACCATATTACGGAAGTATTTCAGCACAACCCTTAATGCTGTACTGGTATGTACCAGCTGACTATTAGCTCTGCCAAGAGGTGTTCAGTTCTCTGACTGTAGAGTCAGAGTTACTACCCAGTTTGAGAAGTACTTAATGAAAGTGTATAGACAGTACATAGGGGAAGGTTTGCATGAGCCTTTTGGGGGAAAACTAGTAAAGACTTCTATGGTGACTAGAAATTTGCCATAGTCAGATTTGAGGAGGAGGTTCTAACCAAGCTGAGGGGAAAATAGCATTTGCAGAGGCAAAGGAGTGTGAAAGAGCATGGTGGATTCAGACATGAACAAATAGGAGAGATGGAAGATGAAGATGTCTTTCTCTGACCTTTGATTTTTTAAGCTGAATAAATATATATTAAGACCACATTTGTATCTTTGAAATTGCTCCATTTTTGGTAAAGAACTGCAAGACTGTTTGATATTCAGTTTCTTTAACTGTATCTAATTATTTTAGGTGTAGGGAAAGAAGGGAGAATAGGAATTTGTTACAGTTCAGGGCTATACTAAAGATTGATAGAGCAAGAGTGCAATGAAAAAACTTCTCTGCTGATTCACTGAGAGGCTTCTAATGAGCAAACACAAATTCAAACAGATTGAGGATGGTAGTTTTTTTTTTTAATGACATAAAACTGTTGCCCATGAGGCTTTTTGGCTGACATCATGAAACTAATTTTGCTTAATAACTGTGGAGGCCTACAAATTCAAACGTGTGGAAAAGGAAGTAAATTACTGGCCTGTCAGATTCCTGTTGCCTATCATCTTTTATCTGAATAGCAGCTTTTGTTTCCAGACTGTCATGAGCAAGTATGTGGACCCCTTCAACGTTGTATTTGTATATGCTTGAATAATTCAATTCAGAGCCATCTAAATATAACAAATCTACAACAGTGAAAACGCTTTATCTTCTTACATTTGTGTAACTTAGGGAGCATATCTATGGATATCTCTTCTCATTTCTGAGAGCTCTTGAGATATGTCAAGGATTTGTAGGGGTGTAAGTTTTGCTTTTATTGTCAGAGTTGATGACTCATACCTTTGAAATATAATGAACTCATATGGACAGCAGAATAAACATTTTCTCTGTGACTGTTCAGCTCAATGAATGATTTGAAAGCACCCACTATGTGCTAGGAATTGTGTGGAATACAAAGGTGAACTACTGGCATTTTTCTGGGTATCAAATTATGTGATTTTTTTCTCTCAAGCTATATTTAGTAAAAATGACTGTCTTGATGGTGTATGTGTGTAGCATAACAACAAAGGCTACAATAAAGGCTTGAGTTACTGGTAAACAGATTATTTGCTTCAAGGAGCGTTTTGAAAATAATGGTTTAAGTTCTTTTATGGCTTCATTTTTTACAGCATTTTCAATTAATGTTACTTATTTTCTTTCTACTTCCCATTACTCTGAATAATTAGAAATGAGGAGTATTTTCTGTGAAATATATATTAAATCCAATATTAATTCAACAAGTATTTAGATAGCATCTACTAGGCCCTAGGTATGGAGTGAGCTGAATAGCAAAGTTTGCTATCCATAGAATAAAATTACTCAGTAGAAAGGAAGCTAAAATAATAAAAACGTGAAAACTTTCAGCTCTTTTGGTATGCTTAATGTTATGAAAATAACAGTCAGTCTTAAATGCACAGAATTTACATTTGGTTTTGCAGGTATGTTGTATTTTTGTTGTTGTTCACAGAGGCTATCGGAAAACTTAAGAAGGTGTAGACTGTCTACTTTTTGAATACTGATTACCTTAACCAGCATATTACATCTGTGTTTTTCTTTTTACTTATTTCATATTGTGGGTAGCTCAGTTACTTTAGAAATTAAGGACATTCTGTATGCTATCACTTGGCTAGAGCCAGATCTAGGGAAACAAAAAGATGGTGAGAATCCTTGCTGTAACAAATTGCCCTTTTGTAACTTTGTTCATTCCATTTCTACTTCCTGGAATGCCCCCTTTTCTTATCAAAGTCTTTCCCAAAACCTTACCTAAACATTTCCCTTGACATTTTACTCTTTGAAATTTCTATAACATTTTGTTTGTTGCACCTTTTGGGATATTTATTTTTTACTTTTTTTGTATGTACCTGAACTATGTTTTCTTTTGAATTATAAGTTTCTTGATGGTGTCATGAATGTTGAATTGGGCCATGAACTTTTAGTTTATTTCCAGTTCTTTACAGTCATAAATGTGCTATGATATAAATCTTTGGATTTTTTATTATTTAGAACAGAGTTCTGAGAGAGAAGTTACTAGGTCAAAGGGTTTGAACTTTTTAAAGCTCTTGTGTATTGCAAAATTGCTTTCCAGAAAGACTTTACCTATTTACACTACCACAGTAGGGGTATGTGCAAAGATGCCCATTATATTGTATCATTATATTACTATAATTATGTTATTATATTACATTATAATTTGTAGCTATCAGTATAGCTGTAGATTATGGTATAGTAACAATCCCCAAAATCTCAGTGGTTTAATACAACGATGTTTACTTTTTGCTCCTGCTACATGGCTAACACATATCAGCAGGGGGTCTTCTCTCTCTCTTTGGAGTCATTTAGTGAACCATCCTGATCAGAGCTCCATCTGGTTACTTCTTTCCATAATCACTGCAGCAGTGGGTAGGTCTTCCAGTTGTGTACTGGTTCCTAAAGCTTATGCCTAATAATATATCATGTCTATGTACATTTTAGTGGCTAAAGCAAGTCATGTAGCCAGAACTAAGTTGAAACAGGGCAGTGAAGTACAGTTCTACTGTGAGCCTAGGAAGGAGGAGGACTGGAACAGCACTAATAACTAACATCTTATTTAAAAAACAACTCAAATTTTATTGATGAAAGATGATATCTCAATTTGATTTCCTTTGCCAATGTAGGTGAAATTTTCATAACTTATTAGCCATTTGTTTTATTTAATCTTCCCTTTTACTTGTTTTATAAACACATGCTGTTGGTTTACTTTTATATTTCCATATTTTTGAATTCTGTCATTTTTGTGAGGATAGGAGGTCATGGTGTGCAGACTTTCAGAAAATGCCTTCTGTTTTGAAAACTTGAACAGGTGAACAAAAATTATTTTTCTTGAATTGATCCCCCTCACCCTTGTTAATATAGTATATGTTTTGATAAGTTTTATATTTCAAGATTTGTCAAAATGTTTAAATAATTATAGACAATAGAAAGTCTAGCAGAATTAAGACCCTTGACATTTTACAAGCTTCTAAAGAACAACTTGAGCACAAAATTTTAGGGGGTAAACGATCAAGTTAGGGTTCTTCTCTTGAAAAAATGAAGTTCCCTACTCAGATTTAGTCATATTGACCATGTCTTTTTCCTTTTTTTCAATTCAGGTATCTGCCTAAACTGGAAGTTATGCTGTAGAGATTTCTTTGTGGATTTGTCTGAAAACCTAAGGTGAGATATTTTATAAATGCATTTGCCTTTTAAGATATATTTTATAATGAGAAATAATTGTTTCTGAAAAATTTAAGGCATTAAAAATTTAATGTCTTTTCCTCTGAGAGTTTTAATAGGAGGCAAATACTATTTATTATAAAGCTACATATATAGCATGCTTACTTTTACTTTGTAGGACATTTGATTGAAACAAATGAAGCTGGTTCTAGCAATTAAAATAGTTCTGAGTGAATTTTTCCTTTGTTTTTTATACTCAAAGTTTGAAGTTCACACTGCTGTTCCCTGACACGCACTTGAGAAAGATATTGGCATTATAATCTGATATTCTTGAAGGCAAACCTTCAATTAGTTAACTATTTTAATAGTTCAGTTATTAAGAGTTTTCTACCACTCTGTTCTCTTGGAGTTGATTATTTTCTCTAGTTCCCTCTGTTTGGGGGGGTGCTTATAAAATAAGGATATATCCTTTAGTATGTTAGTGTTTGGTTTCTATAGATAGCATTCCACTCTAAAGATTGTATCATAGCTCTTTCCCTTTTCTTACATGTCTTGGCTCAAATCTTCTTCATCTTTTAATTTTTTAAATGTAACATTATAAGTCCATCATCTGGTCTTTCCACCTTGAGTCCAGCTGCTCTCTAAGCCATTCTTGTCACACTTACGAGGGTGCTTTTTCTAAAAGATAAATGTCATCATGTTAGTCCATGACTCAGAATCCTTCAGTACCTTTACAGTGTTCAAAGGATATTTTAGACTCCTGCAGAGCAGTATAATCTGCTTTATATCCATTTTTCCATCTCACTAGTGCTCTAGGAATGTTAGGAACTAACATTTTAAGAAAACAGCTTTACTGAGAAATAATTTACATACCATGAAATTCATCCATTTATTTAAATTTGATGTAATTTATTGTATTTACAGCATTATGCAACTATCACCACAGTCTAATTCTAGAATATTTTCATCACTTCAAAGAGACATCAGAACTCATTAGCAGTCACTATCCATTCCTCTCTCTACTCAGTCCCTGGCAGCTACTAATCTACTTTCTCTCTATAGAGCTGCCTATTCTGGACATTTCATATAAATGGAATTGTACAGTATGTGGTCTTTTGTGACTTATTTCTTCCATTTAGCATAAAGTTTTCAAGGTTCATCCATGGTTCATCATGAACCAGTACTTCATTCCTTTTTATGGCTAAATAATATTATATTTTATGTGTCAGGAGTTTAGCTGAGCTTGTGAGAGAGAAGTGGGTTGGGGGGCAGGGGTAAGTGCTGAGCTTCCAGGTATCAAGGTAGCTGATTAAAAACAACATTCCAAAATGAAAGTAACATTCTAGTCTTTATTCACTTACTGAGATAGTATAAGCAAGAGGCTAAACCTGAGAAAGTGCAGGCCCTCTCACTCAGGTGAATCAGTACGGGGGTGGGGGGGTTGTCTCACTGCTGAGGGAGCCCCAAACAAAAGGTTCCTGCAGTTTTATGGACCCAGGGCTGGTTGGAGGGTGAGATGGAAGGACTTGGAGTGGAAAAGTACTGAGTCAGAGTAGAGAAAAAGTGTCTTTAATGTTTCCTTCCTAATGAGAAGATCTCAGAAGAGGCACCTGAAGAAAGGCCTCAGCTGCAGGCCACATATAAAGAAACTTCTGGAAGAAGGTACCTGGGCTAGGGATACAGCTGTGCTAAAGAGCATGGTCAGTCAGGGATGCCTGGGTCCTTGACTGCAACTCTCTTCAGAGACTGCAGTGCACTGACTGTGCGCCAAGTCTAGTCAGGGGAGGGCAGATTTCCTATGTGAAGCCTGCCAGGGCCTTTGTAGTCATTTATGGTCAGGTTGGAAAAGTCACACGTCGATTTGTTGGTCAGGAGCTGGACTCCGCAATATGCATGTACCATATTTTGCTTATCTGTTCATCAGTTGGTGGACATTTAGGTTGTTTCTACATTTGGGTTATTATGAATATTTTGCTATGAACATTTGTGTATAAGTTTTTGTGTGTACATGTTTTCATTTCTCTTGGGTACATACCTAAGAGTGGAATTGCTGGGTCATTTGGTAAATCCATGTTTAACATTTTGAGGAGCTGCCAAACAGTTTTCCAAAGAGACTGTATCATTTTTCATTCCCACCAGCGATGTATGAGGATTTGTTTCTCCATATCGTCACCAACATTTGTTATTATCCTCTTCCTTTTTTTCTTTTTTTAAATTACATCCATTCTAATGGATGTAAAGTGGTCTCATTGTGCTTTTTTTTGTTTTTGCGGTACACGGGCCTCTCACTGTTGTGGCCTCTCCCGTTGCGGAGCACAGGCTCCGGACGCACAGGCTCAGCGGCCATGGCTCATGGGCCCAGCCGCTCCGCCGCATGTGGGATCTTCCCGGACTGGGGCACGAACCCGTGTCCCCTGCATCGGCAGGTGGACTCTCAACCACTGCGCCACCAGGGAAGCCCTCATTGTGCTTTTGATTTGTGTTTCCCTAGTGGCTAATGATGTTGAATACCTTTTCATGCGCTTAATGGCCATTTGTATATCTTACTTTGAGAAATGTCTATTCAAATCCTTTGCCCATTTAAAAATTAGGTTATCCTTTTATTGTAAGAGTTCTTTATATATTCTGGATACAAGTCACTTATGAAATATATGATTTGCAAATATTTTCTCCCATTCTGTGAGTTGTCTTTTCACTTTCTCAATATTGTTCTTTAAAGCACAAAAGTTTTTAATTTTATCTATGTTTCTTTTGTTGCTTATGATTTTGGTGTTTTATCTAAGAAACCATTGCCTAATCCAACGTGATGGAGATTTATTCATATTTTCTTCTAAATGTAAGTTTTATTGTTTTAGCTCTTAAATTTAGGTCTATGATTCATTTTGAGTTAATTTTTATGTATGGAGTGAAGTAGAGGCTCAGCTTCATTCTTTTGCATTCAGATATCTAGTTGTCCTAGGCCATTGGATTATCTTGGCACCCTTAAAGAATATCAGTTGACCATAAATGTAAGGATTTATTTCTGGACTTTTAATTTGATTCCATTGATTTATACATCTTTCCTTGTGCTAGTATCACATTGTCTGATTACTGTAGTTTTGTAGGAAGTTTTGAAATCACGAAGTGTGAATTCTCCAGGTTTGTTCTTATTCAAGGTTGTTTTGACTCTTCTGGTGCTTGCATTTTCTTTCTTTCTTTTCTTTTTTTTAATATTTATTTATTTATTTTATGGCTGTGTCAGGTCTTAGTTGTGGCATGCGGGCTCTTCATTGCAGTGCACATGTGGGCTTCTCTCTAGTTGTGGTGCACAGTCTCCAGAGCGCATGGGCTTTGTAGTTGTGGCGTGCAGGCTTGTTTGCCCCACGGCATGTGGGATCTTAGTTCCCGGACCAGGGATTGAACGGGTGTCCGTGCATTGCAAGATGGATTCTTAACCACTGGACCACCAGGGAAGTCCCCCCTTGCATTTTCATATGAATTTTAGGATCAGCTTGTCAAGTTCTACATAAAAAGATCCATCTGGGATTTTGATAGAGACTGTGTTGATCTGTATTATGAATCTGTAAATCAGTTTGGAAACTTTACAATAGTAAGCCTTCCAATCCATGAACATTGGAGGTCTCTTCATTTATTTAGGTGTTCTTTAATTTCTTTCAGTGATGTTTTATAATTTTCAATGTATGTGTTGTGCTTTTTTTGTCAAATTTATTCTTAAGTCCTTTACTCTTTTTCATAGTATTGTGAATGGCATAGTTTCTTTACTTTTGTTTTTGGATTGTTCATTGCTGGAGTATAGAAATGTAATTGATTTTTAAATCGTGCACCCTTGCTGAACTCTTAGTTCAACTATGAGTTCTAGTAGTTATTACTTAGAAGTTTTTTTATATTTAATATCTTGTCATCTGCAAATAGTGATAGTTTTATTTATTCCTTTCCAATCTGGATGCCTTTTATGTCTTTTTATTACCTAATTGCCCTGACTAAAACCTTCAGCACAGTGTTAAATAGAAGTGGTGAGAGCAGTCATCCTCATCTTGTTCCTGATCTTAGGGGGAAATAATTCAGTCTTTTAGCATTAAGTATGATGTTACCTGTGGGTTTTTCCTAACTGCCCTTTATCAGGTTGAGGAAGTTCCCTTTTATTCCTAGTTTGTTCAGTGTTTTTGTCATGAAAAAGTTAACATTTATTGAGACCTTTCAATATATGCCAGACCCTATGCTAAGACCCTATTTAATTTAATTTTCATAGTAGTCCTTTGAAATAGAGATTGTTATTTTATGTCATTGAGCTGGTAAATAGTAGAATCAGATTTCAGAACTTGTATGCTGAACGATTATGAATTAAATTCCCTGTACATACCATGCTGATTTATGTGTGTGACTTTATACATTCTAGTTGCTGCCTATTAGAATTCATGCTCCCTCTCTTTCTCCATCATGCAGCTACTGCAGCACTTTGTACCTATAACTATCATAGTACTATTTCACTGTGTTGTGATCGTTTGCATATATTTCTCTCATTTTAGAATCTGTGCTCCTTGAAGTCAGGGACTTTGTCGTATACATCTTTGAATCTCCAATGCATATCGTAGAGATAGAAGAGAGATGTGTCACAGAAGCCAGGGGATTAGAGGGTTTCAAGAAGAGTGTGAGGAACTTCCCTGGTGGCTCAGTGGTTAAGAATCCGCCTGCCAATGCAGGGGACACAGGCTTGAGCCCTCCGGGAGGATCCCACATGCCGCAGAGCAACTAAGCCTGTGCGCCACAACTACTGAGCCTGCGTTCTAGAGCCTGCGAGCCACAGCTACTGAAGACCGTGCACCTAGAGCCCGTGCTCTGCAACAAGAGAAGCCACCACAATGAGAAGGCCGCGCACCACAACGAAGAGTAGCTCCCGCTTGCCGCAACTAGAGAAAGCCCGCGCGCAGCAACACAGCCAAAAATAAATAAATAAAAATTTATTTAAAAAAAAAAAAAAGAGTGGCAGAAGTCAGCAGTGT